GATAATGTTATATGATAATATTATATGTTTGTCATGAATTATGTCAGTAAATTTAAGTTGGCGCAAATTTTGAGAGATTATTTTGCGAATTCTAGAACATTTTCTCGGATATTACAAATAAAATGTTTCCACAAATAAGTTCACGAATTTCGAAACTTTTTCTTTTTCTTTTTTTTTTTTTTTAGTTTATATAATGATTTTTAGATTATTTTTGTATTTAATTAATTTTTATGCAATTTTACTTTGAAATTACATAAAATTACGCTGCAGAAAAACCTTTGTATAAATTCCAACGACAAGATTGAATATATGGAAGTTTTGCTGCACTTCTCGAATTCCAGTAAAATTCGTTTCAAAATGTTTACATTATTACAGTCACCTTCCATTATTTGTCAATATAATAAAACAAATTCCACGCTGAAACAACATTGTTTTACAAACATGCTGCTTATTGAAGGAGATATGTGCATGTACAGTATTTAGTGTATGAAAACGTCGTCTAGTTAAATGATAATGTTGACTACAATAATAAGTTGAATGCCTTCTCAGAATCTGATTGGTTTATAAATATAAATTTCAATAAAAAAGTGCATTATAATTTTTATTTAGTTAATCACTGATTATTTGTGTTAATCGCAAAATTTTAATGGAAACCTGAAGCCGCTGAAATTCTGTGAGTTTTCGTAACTGATCTTACGAATTTTGCCTTCCTTACTCACGATAAAATTATTCCTTTAGGCATGATTTTATTGGAAATAAACATTATCCGCCATTTTATTAATATCAGAATAATGAAGATCTTTTGAGAGTTCAAAGGTAAAGCAGTGCAACTGAAACTGACCTAAATTGAAATTTCTGGATTGAAAAACATTTTACGACTTATTACTCAGAACACGTCCACGAAACAATTTTTTACCCCCCACGCTGTTCCATAAACACTGACAGTTACGCTCCTGGCGATAAATTAAGGCTCAGCAAATGATATATGCAAAATAAAGTTCGTCTAAAACCTCTTTTTGTTTTTAGTGAATAAATTCAATAAGAAAATATTCCTCTGCCCATCTTTCAGTTTATAATCAGTTATGAAGATTTACGTATCCGCAAAGCGACTATTTCAACCACGCTGTTGTATTTGCAAAAGGATTTAAAATTCAAGTAAGTCTTTCATATATTTTTAGAAAATGTAACCAGTACTACTATCTGCAGTTTATTTTATTCGGAATGATACTATTAGTATCGCAGATACACATAACATGTAGGTTTCAAGGTAATTTTTATCGATTGTGTCATATGATATTTAAAAATATTATATTTTGAGATATTTTTTTTTTCTTCTCATATGTTGGCAACAAACTATAAGCACGGAATGGCCCACTGGTTTCTTTGTATGAACATGTGTTCACTTTTATGTTGGATTAACAATTAATTCAAGTTTCAGTTGTCTAAGTACGTTTCCTTTTTATAAAAAAAGATGATATATCTATTGCAATAGTTTTATTATTAACACGAATTTTATAATGTTCTATGTTTCCTGCTTATTCCATAAGACTTATTTGCGTTAAACTTAGCGAATATCAGCTTTCAATTAATATTTTACGGAATTTTATCAGTTTTACGAAATCGATCTTAACAAGTAACAAATGAACTACATTTGCAGTACATTTTTCGGAATGGTTAACCATATTCATATAGTTATCAAACCATCTCTGTTTCGAAAACTTAAATTAAAAGCCTAGTTATAATACGTGGCTCTACCCGATATTTTTTGATAATTTTCAGTTAGAAGTAACATCAGGTGCCACTAAAAATGCCTTAGCTAGTACTGAAATAAAGGAGGAAGAATTATGTTATTAAAAGACTGGCGACGTGTTTGAGAACTGTTGTACGTACTGACGTGTTCAAGGGGTTACATCTTTTTGGGGGGAAGGGAGAAGCTCACTGGGACATAGTTTGTTTATTAAACTGAAACAAAATAAAATTTTTAAAGTAATTACCAGCAATCTTTTTCCTGCTTAAAATTAACATGTTTGACAACAAAATTTAAGAATATTCATAAAGGTTAAATAAAAGTTTATAATTTAAAATATTCATTCAAAATGCACCGAGTCTTAAAAAGCCGAAAGTGGTCATAAAATGATAAACTTAAAAAAGTAAAATTTGCTGACTAATTTTTGCTGACTTAAAAAAAAGCAACAATTAAGAGCATACTATTTATTACTAGGAAGTTTCTTTCGACATAAGGGGAATGAGAATGTCATGAAAATAGCAGTATACTATACCATAAAATTTCTACATATAACAATCCCTAACAATCGAAATGTTCTACAGCTGCAATTTCTTGATGCTTTTACTAATCAGCATCAGCTAAAGGTGAGATTTTAAGCAAACCTTAATTGAAAGTTTAAGCGCCAACAAAAGAAACATTTCTCCTAAAAAATTCTTCCCATTTGTCAAAAGATTGTTTCAAATGAACTCCTGGAAAAATGTTAATGTTGTGGAACTCAAAATACTAATGAAAATGTCTGAAAGAAATATTGTAAATAAACTACGAGTAAAACGTTCTGCAACGGGAAAAGATTGTGAATTTAATAAAGAAATGCGCTATAAAAGAAATGCAAGAAACTTTAGGTGTGAGTGTGGGAAATGCTACAAAAACACTTGCTGCTATTTAAAACAGTCATAAAATTTTCTTTATCATGAGATAAAAAAATGACAGTATCCCCATTTGTCACAAATTAATTAAAACTTAATTTATAGACAAAAACAAGTGGCTTAAAAAAGGGATGGATATTTTTGAATAAACTTATTTCTGATTTCGTGGTTCCTACAACTGCAAATTATATGTTTTAAAAAGATGAATTTAACGAGTTAATATTATTGATGTGGGTTGAAAATGCTTTGTTAAAAATATTATGAATGACTTATATATAAAAAGTGTTTTGAATATATTGTAATAAATGAAAACAAACAAAGAAAAGTAGTATTTACATCTTATGATATTTCTTATAATATTTCTGATCAGATGAGGTTTTAAATAAAAGCTTATAATTTCTGTTTATATTCACTAATTGAATTTTAATACATTTAATTATAGAAACATATAACGTATAAAAATAATAAAGAAACTGTGTTTTAATAATTATTTTAAGAGTTTCATTCACTAGACTGTGTCTTCTCAGTTACCATTTTTCGACAAATCTCTTAATTTAAAGCTCTAAAACTTAACACAAATGTGTATCAAATTGTACATTGCTTTTATTGTAAGCTTATTATTATCCGCTTAATAGAATAAAGATTGTAGTTTGCAATAAATTGAAAAGAAAAAATACTGGAACTAAAAATGCAACAGAAATCATGTTTCTGTTTATCATTTTACCCTTAAAACCTAATTTATTGATTGCAAAATCGATCCATAATGTTATGAAGAGCATTCTAATAAATATAATTAAAACATTGTGAGCAGTATTATTGAAAATTGAAGAAGAGAGATATTTTGTTTTTAAATTAAAAAAAAAATAATAAAATTATTAAAGTAATTACTAGCAGCCTTTTTCCTGCTTAAAATTATTATGTTTGACATTTAAGAATATTCATAAAAGTTAAATATAAGCTCTTAATTAAAAATATTCATTCAAAAGGTACTGAATCTTAAAAAGCTTGAAAGTGGTAATAAAATTTCAAACTTTAGAAAGTAAAATTTGCTGACTAATTTTTTAACAGTCATGAATGTTAATTTACCTTTACATGATTTTATATGCAAATTTAACAAAAATTGTACAGACAGCCATTACTGCAAATTGAATTTTCTGAATATAGAACCAGCAGCATATTTTTAAAAAATTAAGTTATTTTTTAATAAACACAATAGTTGCAGTTACGTTTTATGGAACCAAGTCTTAACCCTTAAATACTGTTAAAAAATATTCCAAAGTTTATTCTTGATGTCTACAGTTTGAAAAGCTGTTAAGAAATTTTGCAGCCGTACATATCACATAGTATTAGGAACACTTTTATTCGTTGCATATAAAATATAAATATTACTTAAATTCACTATGCAAAAGTGTAAAAATATCATGAGGAATACATATTGTGTGCAACAGCTCACTTTAATACATTCTGATAGTCTGGACTGTTAATGGAAAATCTTATATTGCATGAGTTAGAAACAGCTTCCTACTCCAATGTTATTTCCTTTATAAAAAAGAAGCAAACAAAACTCTTTCAGGAATTAAAAAATAAGTGACTTAGAGAAAAATAAGCGGACATTATTAAATATTAAACTTGTTCTAATTTTATACTGTTAAGATTAAAGGCTACGACTAACATTATTTTACATTTTACTGTGCAACTTTATTACCCTGGTGTACCTAAATTTTCACGAAAAGAATCTAACAATACATAAATACTAGATCAGAACATTCCAGATTCAGAAACATTTATGGTACCATGTTGTTCTAACTGCTTCATTTCTGGAGAAATTTGAGATCTTAGCGAAACCTCCGAAGCTGAATGTCCAATTTAAAAAGGCAGAACTTCCGCTGAAGGTTTTGGAGCTATTCATATAAATAGTCGTGAAGAATTTTAAAAAAATCAGAAAAAGTAACTCTAAAAAATTCTTTAGACAGCGTAACCAATGGTTGTCGAAATTCCTGTGAGAAAAAAATTAATGAAACCTTTGATGCCCCATATCTTGGCAACCCCCTTCCCCCTCATACCACACATAACACCAAACAGCGATCAGCTGCCGAAAGTGATGCAAGGAGATGTAAACAAGTAAAAAACAGAAAAGCGGAAAAGGATGGTTATGTGGTGAAGCGAAGCAGCGCAACAACGATTAGGGTTAGACCTCAGTAAACCGTTGTCTCATCATTCCGAATGACCTTGCCGATGGGCGCACGCCGAAAGGAGGAAGATTGAGCCATCCTTGGGAAGATCCAGATCATTTTGTTTCATCCTCCGCTCCTCTCTCCGTCACGTGACACAATCTTTTACTGGTATATAAAGACCACTGGGTCTCGGTGAAAGTCACACTTTCGGAACATCAGTTCACCGGAATCATGATCAGAAAGGTAAGAACAAAAATTTGATATTTTACGTTTCACGTTATGGATAGTATTTACTTTCGCATACAGAATTTGAATTTGGGGCATCCTAAATATATTCTAATAAGAAAAGCTTTGAAATGAAGTGAAGCATTGTTCAGTGTAGAAACATCCAAATTGGTGCAATTGGTTCAGATTCCGCTTTTATGTTAGAATATATAATTAAAAGTAAATTTGCATTCTAATAAAGGTTACACCTTCCTTCTCTTGAGATGCTTTTATTAGGAAAGTTATAAAATGGTGTTTCACAAGCAGAAATTTGCAGTGTAATCAAGAGTTAGGGAAATACTAATTTTGACTTTTTAAAAAATGACTTATTTATAAAATTTCTATGCTATGAAACTTACAGTTAGATCTTTCGGATTCTAGTTGAGCATCGAAAGTGCCCTGCAATCTATTTATAAATATCAAAATATACAAATATATGTATATGATAACAAAACTCAATGTGATAGAAGATGATGAGCAGTACTTTGAATATAACTATTCTTATACTTCTTTAAAATATTCTTTTTATTTTAGACACAGCATAACGTTGAGTCTGAAAAAGAAAAATACCGGTTCACAAAATTGTGAGAACAGTTTCAATGAAATTGCATTCGTCGCGCATTTAACACAGTTCAAGCATAGCAAAGCATTACACTTAAGTCTGTAATAATGGCTGTATAAGATACGTTGTATACCCATTAATTTTTTCAGATGGCAAATTCCATGTTTACGTAGCGAAGGCAAGCGTTAGGAGAGCAAATTTTAATTTGAAATAGTTCCTCTTTTCTGGCTAGATGGTGTTATTTCCGAGTTATGTTATTGGCTCTTAAAGTCATCAGGCCTATATAGGTTTGGATAAAAGTTTGTCGTCTCTTAAACCACTACGAAGAGTTGTCACGCATTTTAACGCGAGTAAATGGCCAGTGTCATCAGTAGTTATGCAGAGGTTATAAACGTTTTCTTTTCTATTCCATATACCTGCTAGTTCACTTCCCATACAAGTATATAGTGTTGTGATATTAAGGATACAGACAATTTTAAAATTAGTAAGGATGCATATTCGCAGTCATTATGTACCTCTAGCTCTCTCTAAAAAACTTCGACTTGCTGTATGTAAGCATTTTTCTAGAAATCTGTATTATTCTGATACTAAACTACGTTATGAAATCTTAGTATGAAAGTTTTCCGCAACTTTAAAATCTTATTGTTCTTATTTTCAGGCAAGATATTATTAATTTATGCATAATTTATTATTCTTTACATAAGACAGCAGATTTAATTCTTGATTTATTATTCTGTTCTATAACGTGTTTCGCGCTACAGTTATCAATTTAGATTTTAATAATAATTTTTAATCTAATGGCGGGCACTTGCCTACTCAGCACTGGCCACTCCTAAGGTCGGAAGTGGTGGCCATTTTATTGTGGAGGCTTCTAATAGGCGGCCACAGTTGGCTCCTACGAACGGACGGACTGTTACAAGCATTCCTTCTGATTTTAATAATAAGAAATTTATAAATACTACAAAAGAAATGATGAAATAATTAGGAAATATTTTGAACGAGATTAAAGTTGCTAAACTCCTCAGGACAGCATTCATATATCAGTCGTCAAAGACAAAAACATCCGTGAAATATTAGTAATATATTTTGTAGAGCCATTAGGATTTTTGAAGTAGGGGACACGAAAAATGAGCAATGTCCTCTCCGGGACTCGAACCTGGACTTCTCGTATACGGGCCGAGTGTGCTAACCGTTACATCCCGAACGCACGCAGAAAGAAGGAAAAAAATACATTTTAACTTGATTATAAATGCTTAGAAAGAAACTTTACTAAGAAATTTTATTTTAGTTCACAATGGGTATCCGTATTTAGCTTATCTGTAGTCGGTTAACGTATTATTCGACCACAAACATTTTGGTTTTATTCGACATAATTTTTTACGAGTTTTTAGCATTTCCTTTCGAAATAATATATGTTTATTATCTCGCTACACAAAAGCAGATTTTACTCTGAAGTAAACGAGACATAATATTAAAGATCGTATATGTAATATTTTATAGTTGTAATATTTATGTGTGTAAAATTTTTGCCTTAGATATTTTGTATCCTACATTTATATGTTTTAACTTAAATGTTTCTTCCAAGCAACAGCTTAAACAGATAAATGGTTTATATTAGAAATCTTATTGTATATTAACTTATGTTAGAGAAATAATTAGATTATATGCGTTTGATTTGACCTATATAAATTACCATTTCCAGTTTGAAACCTGATGTCTATTACAAAATGATTTTTATGAACGTAAATCCCCAATTTATAATTTAAGCAAAATTCAGCTTTAAATTGACGCTAATTTTGTCGATAATATTTATATATTACCAGGGAAACATGCAATATGTTCTTTTATTTCAGTAAACAAAACTTACTACTTAAACAATTCATGCTTCAGGACAAATCGGTTATTTATAGCAACGGTTGATAGAGTAAATAAAATCAAAAATTAGAAGCATTAGAAGTAAACAAACAATTGTAAATAGCAGTAAAAATAGAAATTAAACTAAGATGAAAGTGTAAAACCAAGGTAAAACTATAGATATTTAAAGAAAGAATCGGAAAAACTGAACAAAAGAGGCTACTAAATTCGAAAACAGAAAAGTAACTAAAATTCTAAACGGTAAACAATCAAAATGAAAAAATTTAGAGTTCAGAAAAGTGAAAATTAAAGATCAGAATTTATGGTAGCCCCAATACAGATATAAATAATAACAAGTAAGAAACAAAAAAAGGAAAAAAGAAAAACTAAAAAGAAAACTAAAAGCGAGAACTAACGAAACTAAAGAAAACTAAAAAAAACTAAAAGAGGTGAGAAATAAAAAACTAAAAAATCTCAAAATGTCAAACTCCAAGAAATGGAACTTAATGGAAAAATGCACTACCAAGAAGCTCTAAATCCAGATAGCTATCAAATCAGGTATTTAAAATATTGATTAGGAATAAACTTAATAATTGACAGAATTTAACCACAGGCGTTAAGTTCAAATGAACAATTGATTTATATCGGAAAGCAAACAAAACTGTCACACGTCTTTCAGAAGCTATTGTTCTTCGAAGACATTTGTCTCTGAAGAATATATATCATGCCAATTGCACTTCGCTATCTCTCGAAATGCACTGCACCGTTTAGTTTAAAACAAGCGTTAAACGATATTTTAATTGTACCAGATGTTAAAGGTCAGATTTTTACAAACTTTTCTCTTCTATTGTGGATATTTTTAATGTAATCTTTAACAATAATTTTGTTTCAAGTTGCAAATACAAACGGATTAAGATTTTGTATAATATATGAACAATAATTATTAATTAATTAATCTCTCTCGGTATAGTACATATATTATATGTATATGTTGGTGAAGTGTATAATATTCTAAGTTCTTTTGCAAGTCTTCCATTAAATATTAATTAAAATCTAAATCAATATACATCAATGAAACCTATGGACTTAAGCGACCACTGAAATTGAAATTTTAATAATTCCAATAATAATTCTGTTATAATTTTTTATTTGTGGTATAAATTTAATTTAATTATACTTTTTCATTTATAATATAACTTTCGTTAAACTATAATTTTACAAGAATGTGAATTAATGTAAGCATTTTCTTCCTTTTAGGTTTTAATTCTTTTATCTGTTGCCACAGCGGCTCTAACATTGGGCAATGGTCCAGCTTATCATTCCACAAAGAATGTATTTCAGAAGCAGCAGGTAAAGTATAATTCAGATAATAAATAAATACTTTATTTTTCTTAATGCCTTATTATCCTACTTTGTTGAAATAAAATTACTCTGCTGTAACGGGCTTAAATATAACTTTTTCTCCTATCATTTGTTTTAAATTCTAGGCTTCTAATTTTGCTTATCATAATCAATGATGCTTATCATAACCTTTCACTTGGGATGGATTTCAAACCATTAAAAACAACAGTCTCTTAAACAGGATTCGAATCCACAGCCTTTAAAAGAAAATACCAAACATATTATATTGCATTTCTGCCCATAAAACCATGATACGTGGAATTTAACTTGCCAAGATAACAAGATGTAAAAATTTGATATTTTGAAAAGTCGTGTTATTTTTTCTGGAGAACAGCAAATAATTAAAATTAGCCGTTTTGTTTACAAGTATCTGAGGAAACTAACAGCAAGCGCTTTGCATCACCATTTGTGTAACACAAATCTGAGGTATGTGTATATCACTTCATTTATTTAAAAATTTTAGATTTTTATGATATTTCGAGTCCTTTTTTTTAATTATGAGATCTGCAGCATATTTTTCCCACTGTTCTTCAAAAATGGGACAGTTTCGTAACATCAATGGCTGACACTGAAATTTTCTGCAATTTTTCTCAAGTGAGCTTCAGGTTACATCTGAGGAAAGCAGTTATACAGGGGCAGAAATGCAGCCAGCCTGAATGATTATCACATTGGATTAAACTGTTAATTTTTTTTTATTATTATTATTCTAGGAACAGAATAAATTTTGTGAAAGCAAAGAGTAAAAACGACTAAAATATCTTAAAATGACTGCTTTTTCTTCAGATTTTGCGTTTAAAAATAAATATATAAACAATATATAATGCGAAATCAGTGACACTTGCACTAAAAATGTTGCACCGCAGTTAAAAGTAACTTACTCACGTTTTGGCTTTCAAAGAAATCGGGATGCAACCAATATTTAGCTGATGATTTTTCAAATCTTGCAATTAAAAAAAAGTTCCTTTTATTACTGGAATCTATCAATAACCTGGACAATACTCCAGTATTCTAAAAGTTTGTCAACGATATTAACTCTAACCTAGTTAAGTGTAATTTCACATATTAGCGCTCATAGATAAATTCAGTAATAATAGCAACTCCAAATTAATCTAAATTTGAAATTAATTCGCAGCATGGATTACCTTATTGTGGCTTCCAAACAACGGCAACCAGTATACTAACTCTTATGTTAATATTATTTCTCTAATTTGCATACTTCGGAAGCGAAGCAGTGTTTGGGAAGAAAACAGTCAATAGGAAAGAAACAAAAAAATATTTTTGTATATTAGAAAAAGAAAAAAATTTCGGAAATTCTTGGGAAATTTCATTTATTAAGAACAGATGCTAGCCAGATTTTTTTCCTTTTTTCTATGCTTTTATTTAGGAAAACACGATTTAATTTGTATTATATTGAATACCGAAAAGAAATAATTGGTTTCCTTTTTATTATTATGATTATTATTGATTTGATTTTATTTGATACTTTTTTAGGGCACAAAGCAGTATGCTAGCGTAGCTTCCTACCAATCTCCTTCTCAAGAAATCAGGCAGCAGCCATCTCCCTACGCTTTCGGGTACGAAGATGAGGGCAGTGCCAGACAAGAATCCGCCGACGCTTCCGGAAAAGTGACCGGAAGTTACTCTGTCACAAATGAAGACGGATCTGTAAGAGTCGTCAAATATGTGGCTGATGAACAAGGCTTCCGTGCGGATATCGACACGAACGAACCGGGAACCAAAAGCGACAATCCCGCCGATGTGTCCTTCCGGTCAAGCGCTGTTGAGAAATTGGTTAAAAGTGCACCAAAGATTTATGCTCACAGCAAGCCTGCAGCTGCTCAACCCATACAGGTTTGTTCCTATAGTTACTGGAAATCACTTCAATAATTTTTATGTGTGCTATATCATAAAAAAAGAAGAAAAGTAAAATTAGATGTACGTTATCTTGTAATAGCTGAGAAAGCAGTGTAAATAATAACGCTTCTAATCATATTTATAACCACGGTTTGGCGTATTTTTACCAAAGCCTGGTCGAAGATTTATGGTTCTAGTTTAGGAATGAATCAAAAGTAGTAAAGCCGCAAATTCGGCTTACGTTAAGCCGGCATCTGGTTCCGGTACTGAATTTTTGAATAAAATCTCATTTCCAACCACAGCCTAAATAAGATGAGTCTGAGAATTTAAATTTATTATTTAACTATTTGTAATTAATTTATTAACTTTTTATTTGTTTCTACATTTTATTTGATTTTAATTACTAATTATTTATATTTTTTTTCATATTTATTTTTGTTCCCCTTTCCTGACGTCCTTCCATAGGGTTCCGAAACTTTTAAATTTTAAAATATGAAACCCTGCTTATAAACTCACATAACGCCTTTTACTACAGATATATAGAAATTAATTTTTTATTAATTTGTAGGGGGAAAACACCGAGGAACGCATTTTCCGTAAAATTATTCAAACAAAAAAAGTTTCCTTTCTCATATTATTAGAAACCGAATATTTTTCATTTGTTAAAATTACGGTAGGGAGGCCTTAAAAATATTGCTAAAGCTGTGAATATTAACTTTCCAAATGCAGGTTTCTAAATGATGATTTTTTTAGAACTCTAGGGGAAAAAAGTTTTCTGTTGCTCTGAGCCATTGGTTTCGAAATGCCATTTTCAAAAAGTGACGAATATTCAAATGTTTGATTTAAAAGAACTGAATTTCTATGCATTTCCTACCTAGTCACGTTTAGTCTATATGCGTATGTGTGTGTCTATATATATATGTGTGTGTGTGTAATGGATCTGGAAATAGCTGCAACAATTTAGGGCGTAATTTGCAGCTGCCATTTTTGGAAGTTTAATACAACTTAACACAATGGGCGATACATAGAAACGAGCGGTAAAGTGTTGTTTTGATACACAATCAAGCGGGGAAGTTCGATATAGTATATCCAATATTAGAGGCTTAGTTTAAAAGAAAGTTTTCTGTTTGGAATTGAAATCCATAATCACTGGTTGGCTAAAGTATATCTACTTTGCTGCCTTACATATGGTCTTATGATGTGGATTAATTTTGAAAATACGCAGTTTAGATTAGTATATTGAAATAGTTATTATTTTTAGGAGAAAAAGAAAAAAAATGCTCAAATTAGCATAAGGAATAAAGGGGCTATTGTCGTTTAAATTTAATACAAGTCTCATTTAATATAATACAAGTATATATATATATATATATGCGCTGATTTAGAAATAACGAAGATAGACTTTTAACCATATGTAGCTGAACCGTAATGAAGAATAAACATAGAAATCGTATAGATGCAACAAATGCGTTCGTAACATGTATGACAAATATTTTTATTTTTATTTTAACTAAAATTTTTCCAACCAAAAACAAATTGACATACTAATTGTGCCTGCTTCAGAATATTTGCATTTTTGATATTACTGCAGTAAGAATATTAGCAGCAAGAGGCAGACTAGCTAGGCCGAGGGACAGAAAGCAAGTGCGTAGTTATTCAGTGCGGATGCTTAGTATAAGAGGATGTTTCAGTTCGATTTAGCTAGGTCATCATTATTATTAAAGTCATATGATATAGCTTAAACTAAAAATGGCGTAGACCAGAAAAAAGTATAAGCAATGGCTATTTTTAGAACACAGAGGGGAATACCCAAATTGAAATGAATACTTAGGGCTATTGCTAAATTAAGATTTTTATTTACATATTTTTTATCTTATATGCCACTAATCTTAAAAATGATTCAAGAAAACAAAGCTAGAACATTTGTGTTTTTCCACCATTCGAAATTTTTGAAGCCTGCCATAAAAACTATCAACGTTTTAACTCAAAACTTTGAGAAGATTAGTTTCATTGAATGTCTAGTAAAAGCGGTCATTAAACAGAGAATGTGATGTTTGCTATTTCAGTGAAATTGATCACACATGTCACTTCGTGGCGGCTTTACTGTTGTACTATAACTTTTCTGGATAGAATTTAGTGTTTACAGTTTATCTGTTTTAAGTTTTGAGATAATCTTTTCCCTCTACATTTCTAACGTTAATTTTGATTTCGTTCAAAAATTCTAAAATTCTGAAGGGGGCTCCATTTATATTTAAGCTGTGGTTTGTTCCTCAATGACAGCAAACATTGTTTTTACGCTGAGGAGTGTGTGGTTTGTGAGGAACTATCATATTACCCCAGACGGGGTCTCATCATATAAGTGGTTAACACATATACTGGAGTTCTGCTTAGAGCACAGTTAATTTTCTTATGTTTCCAGCTTTAAAAAACCTTTTTAACTACTAAATTTCTACAGTGGAAACCGAATTTTAACGCAACAACGCAAGAAACTCCATTACAGTAGTGTTCTTGGGCTTCTTGCAAGTGCCCTTTAAGTGGGGAGAATGCAAGGAATTACCGCATTCTCCCATACATCTCCCATACACGGTTGTTAATACCGTGGTTGCTGCTAAATAATTCATGGTTACAATACTGGCGAAGACATTGTTCAATTTTTATGTTTCCTGGCATCCAAAAATTAATGGTTTTTATAAGTTTATATCGTAAAACTTTTGGGTGCGTAATAACAGTTATTTTAATAAGTTATTTTAATCCAATAGGCACCAGCTGCTTTTAAGTCTGCAAGTGGTAGCAGCGGAGGTTACTCGTACCAGTACCAATCTGAACTGGAAGATGGCGGAAGTCTCGGCCGAGGTGAAAGTGGAGATGCTTCCGGAAAAGTAAGCGGATATTACAGCTTGTCCGTTGCCGATGGTAGAAAACGTAAGGTGGACTACTCTGCCGACCAGGGAGGATTCTCTGCAGTTGTTAATACCAACGAATTTGGAACTAAAAGTGACTCACCAGCTCACGTGACCTTTCTGTCATCTTCACCGGCGCAAGAAAGTTTTCTGTCTCAACAGAGATCCGTGAAACAGGTACTGTTTTTTTTTTTTTTTCTATATTTGCTTAGCTAGTTAATTAATTTATTTCAAAAGAAAGTAGAGAAACGTCTGCCTGATTAGGGAAGACTCAATGAAGGAGAGGGACGATTTAGTGGAGGACAAACTTGCTCATAATGACATCGCTTATCGTGGCCCGTCAGTGGCCGATTCAATAAACAGTAAGACCGTTGAAGTGTGATTATCCGAACTAAATTCGAATCTTAGCGAAAGAGCTAACTTCAAGTGAGCGTTTTTCTTCCTTTTTTTCATATGTAAAGTGAATATGAGCCGGTTTTCCCTTGAATGTTTTTCACGAAGTTATCCTTCTCCATAGACTGATAGTCCTCAAGTGCTTTGCTGTAATCAGCGAAGCAAGCATATGTCAGATATGAGTTCTTCTATGCTCTTTTAGTGAAAATTCTTTGTTTATGCACAACAGAGAATCGCAGTCATCAAATGAAACTTAAAATTAGTCTTATTAACTAGGGGAAGGTGCGTATTCTGGAAATGCTTACGATGCAAATATCTAAAATTAGGCGCAGCAAATCTACGTCTATTAATAGTCTAAAATTACTTAAAATTATTTATTCTCCTGGCCCACTGCGAAATAAAAAATTATTATAAAATTTTTAAAAAATGAAGTTTTCTTATGAATTAAGAGACAAAAATATAATCACTTCATATAACTTTTAGATTGAAAATTAAAAAAACATTTTATAAGTTTGTTTTTCTGTGAAATTGCTTTCTCAATGCAAAAGAAGAATTTTATTGCAAATACAGCCAATAGTGTTTGAACTGAAATAAATAGGCAAGTAGCTTTCCAAAGTAGATTATTTGTCACTTTCGGTCGTAAATTGAAAATTCATTTGCATCTTAAAAATTGTTTTCTACCTAACATATACTCGCATGTTACAATTTAAAGCGTCTTTTATTATTTCGAAACAATCGTTAAAGAACTTTAAAAACTGAACTTAAATTGGACTGGACAAAGGTCTCCTTACGTGCTGAGTCAGATCCTTCTTGTTTGATTGTTGAGATATGCAATAAATTAAAAAAAAAAAAATTAAAGTGTTATCAGTAGTCTTCTGGTAAGAAATTGCAATTTTTCTATGCATTCTGGGTTCGAAGATAGACTCGTTGAACATATAAAATAAACTAATAAAAGGAATATTTCTCTCTGATATCAGTGTAAGTTTATAAAACGTGGAAAGAACTGAAGCTTAAATCAAACGGTATGTGTCAGTTACGGAAATGTTTCTGAAGTCAGGAATAATAACCAAATTTCATTGGTTGTTCTATTGAAAATATTCGATTTGAAAACATATATATAAATCAATTATAATACTTTTGAAAATGATAAAGCATATTTTTAAATAATAGTGACTTTCACTTTGAAAGGTCACTGTTCTTTAAAAATATGCTTTATTATATCCGTTATATCATATCCGTTATTCTTTAAAATTTTGCTATTTCAAGAGTAGTAAATGATAAAGCATATTTTTATTAAAGAACAGTAATTTACTGAATACGTAACTTTTTTAGGTTCAGGCATATTCCTCTCCTGTGTCCCAACAACAACCCATTCAGGCAAGTTAAAACATTTAATTTAAATTTTTAACAAAATTATATCCAACAGCTAAGTGAGCTCTTGAAGTTTTTATTTAAAACTTTATTGTGTCAGAAAAATTCATTCCTGTTTCTAAGTAAAATTCAAATGAATTGTGATTGATCATTAATTATGTGGAAAGTTGAAATTTCATCCATTTAATAGAGATAAGGCGCTTAAGTATACTACCTTCTGTTTAGCTCAGTTTTATTAAAGAGTCAGAAATTAGAATAACTATGAAATCTTTTATAAAAAGGTTAGATAGTTTGATTTACTCAAATAGTACACAAATCAAAGTTAACAGTCTTTCCAAACATTTAAATTGAAGTGTTGAAAAAGAAATTATAAGAGTCTCATTTATAAGTTTTAAACATCTTCAGGCTTACCTATTAGGCAATATTATTAAGAGTATCTTCTCAAAAAGAAGGTAACACGCTAAAAAAGAATGAAGCTTAAGTACAACATTAGTACAAAATGTTTTTAAAACATTTTCGTCGAAACATAAGTAGAATCCTCTCTCGCCAATATTGTTTGGCGCTCATTTGTTTTTGACGCTGCTGAGATTAATTATGCAAAAGTGAAACTAATTTATTCTAACAAAAGTAAATAGTACTTTTAATTAAACTGTTTTAGAAGAAGCTTTATTTCTTACATTTTATGCTGCGTAGCTAATTTATATTTTTAATAAACTTCTTTTCTATTATTTTATCCGGTTAAAACTCATAAAAATGGAGATTTAATTTAAGAAAATCATACCCTGATTTAATTCTTGACATTATTGCTGTACAGACTGATTAACTACAAGACATATAACTAGCATTATAAAATTAAATGCATTTGTCAAGACAATTTCAGATTTTAATGGTAAAATCAAAGTTACCTATCATTTTGGTCTAATGTAAGTACTTATCTAAACTTCTAGAATACCAGGTGAGTTTTCGTCCTGGTTTTAACTAACAATATCAGATCACTAAGTAAATACGACAGAAACAAGCAAAATTTTATTTTAACTTGATCTCAAAGTACAGGATTAAACTAAATAACACAAATTTGTTTCCTCAACAAAAATTGAGTTAAATTATTAACAATTTAAAAGATTAAATTTAGATTTACATTATAGCACTTAATTATTAATAATGATAATTGCGTGACTAGTACTTAGCATTCAGTTAAAGAGAAAAATCCTCAGCTGATAGAAATGTCCCTTATGTTGAACCGAAACATAGAAATTTCACTATGGCCGGTTGAAGTTCCTAATCCTCTTTTTTAAACTTAAATTCTTGCTTCTCTTTAAGAGTTTTTTCATTTATATATTTTGACAGATTAGATGAAACTGTAGAAATTTAGGACAGATTTTCATATAAAAAATAGCTTGTGAATTAAAATAAACTTTATAAAATTAATATGAAAAGTTTCAAGAAATCTTCAAGTCTCTGTACGTAAATAAGAAACATTAAATCAGAGTTTAAATGATTAAAAAATAATTAAAGGGCTTAAAGTACGAATAATTTTTTAATGAGTGGAAAATTTGTATAAGTAAGGCAAAAATGCAGAGACAAGCAAAAAAAAGGGGGGGATATTTTACAAGGAAACTATCATTTATTTAACAACAGATACTCACAATCAAAACTAATTATCGTGGTCATTGCTATTACAAATAAAGTTCTTGAAATATGTTTTACTGTTATTGATACTTTATGAACTGAAATTTCTTTAACTGAAATTGTTAAGCATATGGTTTCGTATATTTTTCCTTTCGGCACTCTACTTTTGTGTTAAATTTGTGTTTTTTTTTTTTTTTTTTTTTTTTTTACTACAATTATTTGCTTCTTGTGTGATATTTTACACCATAAATTTTTGACTCAAAAGTTTATCTTTTGAATCTTTCATAGCCATGTCTTTAATTTTAATTGGTTTTTTAGCCTTTTGTATCAAAAATACGGCAAGTGTCCCAGATCAGCGAGAACTCTCAACCTTCTCCTTATGCATTCAGCTACGATGCCCAATTAGAAGATGGTAGCAGCTCCAGGAAGGAATCCGCAGATGCTTCTGGAAAAGTAGTTGGATCTTACAGTCTCTCCGTTGCTGATGGTCGTAGAAGAACCATCGACTATCAAGCTGACCAAGATGGATTCAGGGCATCTGTCAACACCAATGAATTTGGAACCAAAAGCGATTCCCCGGCTGATATCCAGTTTTACTCTTCTGCTCCTCAAGAAGCTCCAGCACCATCTTACTCTGCTGGAAAAATCAACCAGGGAAATCAGGCAGCCGCTTTTCCCATACAGCAAAGCAGATTATCATCGAGCAGTCAAATTAAATCTGTGCCATTTTCCTCAGGAAGTCAATTCCAGTCTGCGCAGAAGGTAATAAATATCATTCATAAACGCTAACAGTATACTGAAATTATAAAATTAACCCAAATTTATGTTAGAGGTTTGAATGTTTATGCAGCAACTAAGTATTTTTAACGAATCCTTTCTTTCTTTCTGGATATCGATATCTATACATATGCATTAATATCTATCTAAATATCTATATATAAGGAGAGAGAAAAACAGGGAAAGCGTTTTTACTGTAGTTTACACTATGATAATGTATTTAATGAAGAACGACGAGTTATTTAAAGTTTCGGCTTAAGGTTTTTGTCCTGTCATAATACCACAATTGTTATTTTTTCACGACGAAAACTTTTTTATTATTATATTATTTATAGATTTTTAAAGTACTGTTTAAAGTACTTCCGTCATCATATTCCCACTCACTTCTTTAAATATTTGTACATTTTTGTATTTTCTCTTTTACAAACATTTATAACTTTTTCAATAACAATTTAATATGAAACTCAACAATGTTATCGTATGTATTTTAAACAGTCTGCCGTTCAGTATAGCGCAGGAGCTGCAGCTGACAAACCTGCCCCCTACTCTTTCAACTACCTAGCACAGCTTAATGACGGATCTAGTTCTCGAATAGAATCTGCAGACGCATCTGGGAAGGTTGTAGGTTCCTACAGCTTGTCCATCGAAGATGGAAGGCAAAGAAAAGTCGATTATTTAGCCGACCAGGCAGGTTTCAGAGCCACTGTCAACACGAATGAGTTTGGAACGAAAGGGGATTCTCCAGCAGATGTGCAGTTTTATTCCAGCGTGAAGGAACATGCTCCATCCAGTTATTCCTCACCCAGCATCAGAAAAGCTCCACACTCTAGCGCAGCTTCCAAGAAGGTAGAACAACAAGTAAGATACATTTCTTCATCCGTAATGCTTTAAAAATAACGATTACATGATAGTAATTCAAATTTTATTTAAATTCGCAATTAATCTGTGAAGGAAAATATAAATTTTGCATACTTTACAGAATATTTACATTTCAACAGTCCTGTTAAATAATAAAACTTTAATTCGTGTAAGGTTACTTCGCTGAACGCTTATATTATATTATTTACTTCGCTATAACTATTTATGTACACATAAATTAATGGCTAAGCCTTAGTTACATGTCAAAAATGTAAGGTTTATTTTAACCAACATGTTATTTTTTAAAATCTTTCCAGTTTTTAAATTTTTCTGTCAGCTCCTCTAGAAATGCAAATTAAGTAACAAGAAACATGCGCAAGCTTCCAGACGCCTTATTAGCAACTCAGCCAGTGGCATTGTAACGATCTTATTCCTCTCAACTAGATACCTGTAGCGGAATTGTACGAGTTTCTGCTTTTTTGCCGGGCATTCATTCAACACAATTACGGCGTTTAAGTACACTATTCACTATTTTAGCACAGTTTTATTAAGGAATCATAAGTTAGAATTAGAGTGTTTGCTTAACTCAGATGGAACACAAATAGAATACAAATCAAAGTTAACAGTCTTTACATTGTTTTTGTACATTAACAGTCTTTACGTTGTTGCCGAGTTTCATTATGGAAAAGTGCCACTAATTTATTCTAACACTTTTGCTTGCAGTTGCATTTAGCATTCGCGCTTAAATTAGGAACCAGATTTCTAATTTATTGTTTGATTTGAAAATATTAAAAGCATTATTGTATACAATAATTCTCAGCTGCAAGAACCGGAGTTTAATTTTTTTTATTAGCTACTTAGTTTGTTATTTATGAGGCTGTAGTACAAATAAGCTTTAAGTTGTTTTACTATTGTTGTATTAATTCAGTGTTATTGGAGTCTTAAATTAAAAAAGAGACCATAATTCGTCTGAGGTGTAGGATGATTAACAGGCTTTTAAGTGTAATTGGGTTTAATTGCACAGAAATTCTGCATAAAATAAGGTGAAGTTGTAAAATTTGGGTCGACAGATGAATGTTTTATTGCCTTTAATATTATTTACTTTTTCCTCAATATTTAACCTTTTTCTAGATTTGCATAAAATTTAATAATTGTAGATTAGTCAAAAATATTAATCAACCAGATTTAATGCTTTGAGAAAACAAAGGCAGAAACTAAAGCTGTAAATTGTGTTATTGATGCCAAAGCGGAGATTCTTCAAAATAATATTATTGTTCAAGTAGAATATTAGAAAAAAATGAAGCTAATGTAATCTGGAGAACTAAGTTGCTAAAAAAGTATATGTGAGAAGAACAGAAGCAAATTTTAATAAATGAAAGAGAAATTTCTTAAATTAATGACTTGAAATTATTTATTCCATATGAATATAAAAATATCACCTTTTCTATTTTCAAGTGACGAAATGTTTGTAAATGAAGAAATGTGGACATATTTTTAAAGAAAAAGAATTTAATTTCATCTTTTAAGTTAAAAAAATAATAGTTCACCTGCTTCCCGTCTTTGTATTGAAGAAAATAATTCCGCATATTGACCACAATTTTCTTTCACTCTTTGAGGAGTATATTTCATGCTTAAATGAAAAGAACAGTAAAACATAAACTAAGGTAAAATTTCATTCGATGTAGAAGGAAATGTTAGATCGAAAGTAAATAAAATCAAGCACGGAAGTTTCTTCGAAATGTACTTTAAGCAAACATTAGATCGATCGTAAAATAGTCTGAAAGAACACCACTTTCTAATAGTACTTTTTTAATGCATTTACAAACATGTTTAGTGGAGTGGTTCAGCTGACTGTTAACTTATTTTCTCTTAACCGAATAGTCTTTACTTTCTTTTCTTTTCCATGCATTTCCTTGATTTTTCATTGATTTCTCCTTGCTGCAGGGCTTTCCATAATGCATTGTTTATAAAGAAAAACTTTACATTATTTTAGCACTTAACAAGCACGGGACTGAAGCAGTTCTCGGTAAAAACATGATATTTTAATTTTATTGTATAATTGAAGTAATGTTCGATTCGTTGGAACAGGAGAGGACTTTTTCATATCTTTTTTGTTTTTAGTAAATGTTGATTAGAGGTTCATAACGTTATTTTTTCATTTGGCTTTTAGTTTTACACAATTCGTAAACACTCATTAGTCTTTACGAATATTAAGCAGGAAACCAGCATCCGGATTCGACTTCGCCAAAGTTCTGAATCAAAAGTCTTCTAGTTACTAGCTGGATGGGCTAGCTATTTGTATCACAATGCGAAAATTCCTTAGCGAAAATTCCTTCAATGGAATGCGATAATTCCTTAGATTCTCTATCACCTAATAGACTGCTTTGTGAGAGGCACAAGATCAAGTGTGGTGACGCGTTAGCTTGCATCATATTTTAGTTCCTGGGCCAAAGAATAAACTCATTATGCTTGCTAAACAGAAAGTGAGGAAACTCTACTATGCTTTCTTTGGGATTCGAACCACATTTCACTTGATAACTGGATGTGCTATTTACTTGCACCAAGAGGCCATGAAGCGGGGAACGCGATAATTTCTTGCTACATCTTCAGTATAATATTTTATATACATGTCAGTTCATTTAATTTATTTCGAAGGATTATTAGTCTTATATTCATCGAGTTTTCAAACAACAGTAACTTAAAATTTATACTTTATACGAATGCGTAAACAATAGTTAAGAAGAACGACGCATTCCGACCTACAGTTCTTAACCTAGCAGAAAAATGAAGAAACGGGCAAAATTCTTTGTTTTTTTTTTTCCGTATAACTTTCTTTATATTTTTCCCTTTTTAAGTTTTTTGCTGTAGAAATTCATGTATAAAACAAATTCTTTCAATACTTTACTCAGTTTTATGAACTATTTGCCGAACTAAACGGTTTATATAAAAACTGCGTTGTAGAATCCAGCCAAAAGCAGAAGTTGTAAAGTTACCGTTTAAATAAATGCATAAGTAAGTATAAGTCAATACATCAGTATATGGTAATGCTGTTACTGATAAGATTTTCAGTCTAACGTATCTATAAAAGATTGAAGCTATTGTAGTAGTAGTTTGTCTTTTGAATTCGAGCTGAAATTTGTCTACGAAATTGGAATAACTACAATGTTTTAGAATTTTGAAGCAAAAGCTATTAAATTATTTACTAATAGTAACATTTTGTCTTTTAATAAAGCACTTGCAAGCTCCCATTCAATTCAGTTTGGAGAACAACGGGGCATATTCCTACAATTACCAGAGCCAATTGGCAGATGGAGGTAGTAACGCCCACAGCGAAATTTCAGAAGGTGGAGGAAAGGTGTCTGGTTTCTACAGCCTCTCAGCCCCGGATGGCCGACAACGCAAAGTAGATTACACATCAGGAAAGGGAGGATTTCAAGCCAGTATTGATAGCAATGAATTCGAAGCACCTCTTGCCCCACCAGCTCACATACAGTACTCTTCTTCTGGTGCATTACGGAGTGGTCTTTCAGCAGTTAAACAATCTTCATACTCCAGCGCACAAAGCAGACCGCAAAGTTTTGTCTCACAGCAAAGAGTAAGTATTACTGATAATTATTTTTGCATAACGCGTTTAAAAGAGAAGCAGATAGTTAAATTAAACAAAGAACAAAATTATAATTATAAAATTGTCATGAAATAAAATCCAAATTCCTAAAATCCGACACGTTAAGTAGTTGATACTATTGTAAATCTAATAATCTTAATGTATTAAATGATCCTAAAAACAACTAAAAGCAAAATCATTAAAATCTTTGCATTTTTTAATGCTGGGTACCAAGGTGCGTACCAAGTACTTACACGTTTTTGCCAATAAAGATAACTGCAGGGGAATGCCCATAAACTTAAACTTTATGTTAAAGGTTAAGGAAGATGGAATGCGACGTGTATCTTTGTGTAATAATAAAGGAAATCTCAGCAAATGAAATAATAAAAAACAGACAAATTGATCCTCACGAACTGTATATGAAATAATTCCTAATTTATTATTGTTGCAGGTGGAAGCTGAGTCATCCTACGCACCTTCTCCGTATTCCTTCGGTTACGAAGCCGAGGCAGCAGGCGGAAGTAGCGCCAGAAACGAAGCAGCAGACGCTAGTGGAACTGTTACTGGAAGTTACACAGTCAGAAACGAAGACGGATCCGTAAGAGTTGTGGACTACATTGCCGACAAGGACGGATTCCGGGCCAATGTCAATACAAATGAATTGGGAACCCAAAGTGAACAACACCCCGCAGACGTTATTTTCAAATCTGAAGCGGCTTCCCAAGCGCGATTCCCAGCTCGCTCGAACACACCTAAATCTAGTTTTAGCCAGCAGAAGGTGGAACCATGGCGCCGATAACGCTAACATTGGAGACCAGCTTGCCACTGAATGAAGCATTATTTTTAAATCATTCCGGCTTTAAATCATTCCACTGAATGAAGCATTATTTTAAAATTATTCAACACATTTTTTTGATTATACTCGAATTTGGCAAGATATACGCACATTTCTTCTTAAACCTAGTCTCAAACAGTCGGTTCGTTTTTCATCTTCTAATGAAAAGACTGCTGAGGATTTTATTGTTTTTGCCAAGTTTAAGTAGAGGTTTCAAAAGACTATTTCTTAATTCCTGCTGATTTATTATCCAAATTTTCTGTAGAATTGACAAATAAATCAGGAAACTTTACACTTCTAGCTGTGAGGAACAGGACTTTATCTTTCAACTTGAAAAATTTCAGTTTTGTGCTTCATACCTTCTTTTAAATATATTCTAGTTAGCTGGTTTACTAAGTTTTTATCCCTTCGTATTTGCTTGCTTATTCCCTTAATATTCGCTACTCGACTAAAAGCAGCACTTCTCATTTAGATAAGGTACATATTTGGTTACTGTCTGTCTGTCAATGTTTTTTCAATGTAAACATATACTCCGTTTGCTTCTCTACGGTGGTCGGTGGCTGAATAGTTCGTTTTTAATCTTCTGAAAATAATTAACTAAAGTGCTCACGAAAATAGACCGTGAATTATTAAGCCAATGTCTATTCTGATAGCTGGAAGCTCAGTTCTTTTCTTTAGAAATGAATTTTTCCGAACAGAACTTTTTGATTAAGCATTTTTTAAAATTCAGTTTACCAAAAACTAGCAACACATTTTTTAATTTTCTGATTTGCAATCAAGCTACTCCAATGAAGAAATATTATTACACAGTAGAGTTTTAAAAATACTGCTAAATTTACAGGCGAGCTGAAATGGGACACACTGCACGATCTCGGTGAACTTTTTTGTCATTTTACTTAGCGTTAATACTTCGAAAAAAATTGTAAATACTTGGGGAAGCATTTAGAAAAACTGACAAAAAAATGTATAAAGGTGTTGGAGTTTGTTCTAAAATATAAGGCAGAAACATCTTACGCAGATCTCATCTTTCATGCGAAAGCGCTTGCTGTGCAAGTAATGCACGATGGAACTGACTTCAGAATGATTTTGGAATTGGACACTGAATAGATATTTACAAAAATTATCTTCATTCATCACTCTGGTTCTTTCATTTGTAAATTTTTAACAATGGTTTTCCTGTTTCTGGATGCGCCATCACTTATTTGATGGCATTCTCCTTACTATACTTTAGTGGGCATTCTCCTTACTATACTTTAGTGGGCATTCTCCTTACTATACTTTAGTGGGCATTCTCCTTACTATACTTTAGTGGGCATTCTCCTTACTATACTTTAGTGGGCATTCTCCTTACTATACTTTAGTGGGCATTCTTTTCGTACAGTTGTAAGGTAGTGTCTGTTCCAGTACCGTATCTATAAATGGATGTTAAAGAATGATTTTTCTATAGAGCTATTCAAAGAAAATATCAATCATGTTTGAATATCAGCGACTGTGATATATAATGAGATGCTCTTTTTGCCTATATTTTATGTAATGTATTTTTTTACCTCTTTTAAAATAAAATTTGAAAAAAAAAATGAAGAATAAGTGCAATCTGTGTTTCTTTTTTTTAAATCAGAAGTGAAGATCCTCTTGAAGTAACAAAATACAAAATTCAACATCTTCAGTTAAACCACTAAAAAAATGCTTAGTTACCCTATTTTATCACTGCTTGTTTTAAGTAGGTGTTTCTATGGCTAGTAAGGTTCTAGTTAAAAACAGACCAAGGGATCTCATTTTCTCATTTGTAAGTTTCAACATTTGTATTACTTCACACACTATCCAAAATTCCCTCAAATATATCTTACATTTAAAATTTCCTGAAGAAATATTCTGCTCTAGCTTTCATTAGAAGTTATCACCTCATATAAAGTATTCTCTACTCTAGTAATCTTGATCTGAACCTGGATAAAATTATTGTTATCGCTTGCACCTGTAATAAATATTTCCAAAATTACATATACTAAATAAGTAAAACTTCGTCAATACGGTTTCTTTTATAAGGTACAAAATTATGACTGCTCGACCCAAGCGGACACCTAGAAGTCCACCTATTAAGAAAATGGTTCGTTTACACATCCTTATGAGCGAGATTTCGAAGTCACTGTCAGTAATAACTCACGAGGAGCCTAACTTCAGAGACGAACACTTCAGCTTGCACATCTTATCTAATTTTTCTTATTCGGGATGCGTGAAAAATCAATTGTGCCTTCAGAACGGTTCGAAACCCGAATCTTCCATATTACTAGCTTTTCACTTATGCTCCAAGAGTATACCTTGTAATAAATTCTTACAATTTGACAGTCAGCAGTAACCTGTAATTCAGCAGTAGCATGAACATGAATACAAAACTGGAGTATTTAATCACATGTGCCTGAAACAGAAATCGGCATAAATCTCACTTGCGTTAGAATGGAATTCGAAACGGGAAACAATGTAGCATGCAACTTAAATACACTCTTTTGGCAAAAAAAATCGAAGCACCAAGAAGGACTTTTGCGATCGGGACGAAATTTGGTACGCAAAAACAACTTGATCGGACATGCAAATGATCAAAGTTACAAAGAACAGGAATTGCGATCAAAGCGCGCATTTCTAGTGCGCAATTTGCAAAGTATAAAACCAGTAATAGAGGCGGAAAATTTATCTTTTTTTGTTGCTGCCATTGTAATTCCGTAAAGAATCAACTAAAGATGCCATTACGACGATATCGAAGACTTTACAGACAACTAAACGACTTCGAACGTGGCCGCTTTGTAGGGTTGCGTGAAGCTGGGTGGTCATGCCGAGCGCCACCTGCAGCGACACTGCTGTGCAAAGATGTTGGCAGCAATGGTTGCTACAAGGAAATTGCCGACGAAATGAAGGCTCTGGAAAGCCAAGGAGCACAAATGCGAGGCAAGATAGGATGACTATTCGCCATACCCGAACCGCCCCAACGGTATCATTATCGACTATTCAACGCAGTACAGCCACGTCAATACCTTCCGTGGTACTGTCCACCATCTTACGGCGGCGATTGTCTGAGGCGGGATTAAGCTCACAGAGGCCTTTGAGACGTTTGCCTTGGAAACCCCCCCCCCCACATCGGCGGAGTCGTCTGGAGTGGTATCGAAGCCGATTATCATGGCTGCCATCAGACTGGCATCTAGTGTTCAGCAATTAATCCTGCTTCACTCCGTGTTCCACCGTGTTCGTGTCTGGAGAGATGACGGATGACAACCGTGTCTGGAGAGGACGGGGCCAGCTGTCCCAATCAGCCTTTGTTTTACAAAGGCATACAGCCATAACCCCTGGTGTGACGGTGTGGGGCGCTATTTCTTATGACAGCAGGTCATGTTTTATCATCCTCCGTACATCTTTAACAGCTCAACGATATGTTGATACCATCCTGCGGTCAGTTGCGTTACCGTTCATGGCACGTCATTCTGGGGCCATTTTCCAACAAGATAATGCCAGGCCACATACCGCTCGCATATCTCTGGACTGTCTCCGTGCGATTATTACTCTTTCTTGGCCAGCGAGGTCACCAGACCTTTCACTAAATGAGCATGTCTGGGGCATGGTTGGCCGCCAGATTCAAACACCACAAAATATGGCAGATCTGGAGCGGCAACTGATAAATGCCTGGCACAATGTGTCGCAGGATGACATTAGGAACCTCTACCGCTCCTTGCCTCTACGAATTCAAGCATTCAAGCAATTTTAATCATTTTATTATCTGTGTATGAGCTATACACATATTCAATTTCATCAAAAACAACCACTTCCTTCATGGTGCTTCGATGTTTTTTTTTTTTTTTTTTTTTTTTTTTTTTTTTTTTTTTTCAAAAGAGTGTATATAACGAAATTATTGTCAGAAATAAACTGAATAATGTTTCAGCTAGCTAATAAATCGTTTTCATTTTGAATTAAAATAGACCTGAAAACTGGTATCATAATTAAAGAAGAAATACTATTATGCTCTTGGTTTTCTTCCACTTCGTAATTTAAAATGAAAACGCTTTTGCAACATAAAATTGGAAAATTCAGTCTGCACTGCGTTCCTTCACACTGCATTTTATTCCTGAAAATTATCGTAAAGTGTTGTTCTTGCGCATATTTCGCTGCCGTTTTAAAATTGAAATAAAGTGTGATTCAAAAGTCAGTAAAGATTTAAAAATTTATATTTCGACTGCTTTAATACATAATATGTATACCTAACGCAACTATCACAAATATGCTTCATTTTTTGATTTAAATTGTAGGGTTTATATTTATTTTAACTAACATTTATTTTAAGTTTAAACTATCTTTCCTGTCAAGCCTACTTTCCCTGGAATTGCCAATGCCAGAAATATGTAAATTTGAGAGAACGCGCAAGGATTCAAATTTCAGCGGAAAAGTATTCTGATTTAAATAGAAGGAAGGAAACGAGTTCGGGTGATTATTTTAGCACGAGCGCCGGAGGGGAGTTTAGCGAGAATTGAAGAACCCGCGTTGCGGCTATGTGATTGGCGGAAGTAGTGGGGTAATCATTCCAGTGAGCTTCAAGTCTGCTGAATAGCAGCGGGTATTGTAAAACGCGGTGAGTTAGTTATTTTAGAGAGCCTCGTAGTTAGAATCTTGTCTTAGTTTCTTTTCAGGTTATTATTTTTTATTTGACTGCCGAGTGGCCACCATCTGTAAGCGTCAAGAGGAACGCAATTGTAATTTATTACGTTGATAAAAAGGGACTTAAAACCCTTCACAAGGCTCTACCTTTTATACAAGTTTTCACAGTCACCTCTTGGTTGCGTGCAAGTTGGAGGCGCGCAACGTTATAAAATTATTTTTTAGCTAAAAGCGGCATTAGCCCAGAAGTATTATTAGTCTCGAAAGGACATTTAGCGTCGGTTTACTAAAAATGTCCGTTTCACCACTTTTCAATTTGTTGGCACCAAATATTATCGTCCTGTATTATATTTAAAGAAATTAAATAATGATGAATTTGCATGAATGTATATATGTTTCTCGCACTGTGAAAAAACAACGGAACCTAGAACCATCACATTTTGAATAACGTAGTCCTCCACCCGAATATGGGCACCTGGAAGCCTAAATTTGGAATTTTATTTCATATTTTGTAAACATTTAACGAATTTTTGAATAAAAACTCAACGATTACAAAACGAGTAGTAGCAACACTATACGGGTTGGGGGAGGGGGAATTTTATCTCCAACGGAGGAGACTGTCTGTCGGAAATTCTAAAGATCTGCTAGGCTTAAATATTTTTATCCCAAAAGATTATTAACCCAAATACTCTCGAAACGTGTATGTGTGTGTAAATAACAATAAAAAAAAAAAAAAAAAAAAAAAAAAAAAAAAGTCCTTTTGGGTGTAATATAAAATTTGAAAGCTTTCAGATTTTTTTTTTAAGAATTGCGTTAATTACTTTCGAGCTTTTACCTTACTAACCCAGAGTGGTCTTTAAATCCTATTAACTTGTAAAACTATTAAAAGTATAACATTTTTGGGGGAAGCTCTTTTAAAACTTTCTTGTGAAACCTTAAAACTATAATTTTGTTTTTTTCTTTTTTTGAGGAATCGCTATCATCTTCAGAATATTAATTAAAAAGCTTTTAGAATAGTCAATGTTACATGAATTTAAGTTTGAAAATTAAAAGAACACTCTGAGTTAGTATAAAAGCAGAAGTATTAATATTACCTCACTGATAATTCATGAAAACAGATCTACTTCATATTAGTTTAGGTAATAAAAACAACAAAAATTTTAAAAAAATATTTTGGAACCCTCAAGAAGTTGCATGGAATCCAATAATACCACGAAACGCAGTTTATAGACAACTGAAATCACAACTTAGTATGAAAAAGTTTCTCTAACCTAGATGGAAGGCAAGGGAATTTTTTTTACATACAGAGCAACTCTTTATTGCTTCTATTGTAAAAAACTTTGAATTTTGTTAAGGAAATAATCAATTCTAAGCGGCATGAATTTTGGCATGAGTGACCAGTCAGGTTTCCAAATCCAAAACCCTGAGAGTCATATTATAATACAGCTGCTCGAAATCCCAGGAATTCGGAGATCATTTAATTCTCAGTTTTTAAAGATATTATCTGACATGTACTTTTAAGTTTCTTATAAAAACTAGCAGTATTATAAATAAAAGACCTGCATTATAAAATATTTTTAAAAGTGATTTTATGAATTGCTGATCTAATTATATGCAGCACATTTACTGAAATAAGGCCCACATTTTTATTATATAGTGATCTTTGCATTCTTCCGTATACTCATTTACCGCCAATTAAAATCAGGCCGTTTTCTGAAAAAGGAAAAAAGAAAGGTAAGGGTATTTGGGGATAACGGAATATCGTCAGCAAACAGTATATGGAAATCCTTAGATTTTTGAAATCTAATAAAATAGCTAGTGTTACATTTTTTGAAAATACTAGTAGAATTAATCATTGCAGCCATTCGATTTTATGATAAAATATAAGATAAAGTAATCAACTAATAATTACTTTCAGTTTGTTATATATTGCAGAAGTGTTACATGAAATGAAG